TTAGGCTTCAGATGTTATAGAAATTATAAATTATAAATAAAGATGAAATTTGATAAAATGTTATCAACGACCACTAAAGCGGTGGACACACTAGCCGAATGATTCGGCCGAATCGTTCGGCCGAATCAATCGGCGTCGAAATTCGCCTAGTGTGACCACTGTCATTCGGCCGAATAAAACAGGTTTGATATATTCGGCCGAATTATATTCGCCTGGTGTGTCCGCTTCGCCGAAGCATTCGGCCGAATATAGAATTCATTAGCCAATCACCACTCATATCGAGAAGTCATGGGATAGATTAAAGACATAGACGCCGCCATGTTTAATCATGTGACGTGAAAGGTGATGCAATCGACAGATTAAATCGGGCGAAGCATTCGGCTAGTGTGTCTACTCATTCGGCCGAATAAAATTAGGCACCGATTGATTCGGCCGATCGATTCTGCCGAACGATTCGGCTAATGTGTCCACTGCTTTATCTGAAATAAACACAATTGATTAATGAATAGCTTGTTGTGGAGTATTTACAATGATTTGATCGGGTTTTAATAATCACAGCACCCTAAAAATATGTATTTTAGGAGAAACTGGGCGTTACCCATTATATACTATATACTTTGTTAAGTGTATCAAATACTTGCTGAAATTATTGACTATGGAAGACACCAGATTACCTAAGCAAATTAACAAACTGTTCTATAATCTTGATCATAATGTTAGACCAAATTGGGCATCATCATTAAAGATCTATTATTTCGCTACGGATTTGGGTATATTTGGTTGTCTCAATCAGTTAGTAATTCAAAAGCCTTTTTATATATGTTCAAACAAAGACTGCGGGATACTGGACAACAAGAATGGCATTATAATATGTCAAATAATAACAGATTGCAATACTATTCAAGTTATAAATTAACCATAGAGGTGGACAGATACTAAATTAATTTGAAAATGGACCAAAATATGTAAAATCTACATGTAGACTTAGAATAGGTAGCCACAATCTTATGGTTCTGCAGGGTAAATGGAAAATGATTCCATACGAACAAAGACTTTGTAAGTTATGTAATACTAATACCATCGAAGACGAATGTCACTTTGTAATTATTTGTACTGCTTATAATGATTTTCGCAATTCATATATAAACCAGTATATTGTTTATACCACATCCTAAGGCCAAAACTTTGTAAATCTTATGTCCTCTAAAAATCCCGAAACAATTATCAATCTATCAAAATTCGCCTACCATTCCTTTTGTCACAGGAGTATTTTAATGAAAGAAAAGCAATACCTATCACTGAAAGAAGCTTCAATGTATATCCTTGTACATTTGTATTCATTGTATTATTTAAACTTATTAAGTTATTAATTAACTAAGCATTATAATTGAATAATTTATTTATGCGCTTTTTGTATATTGTAAATACGTTTACATTATAATGATCAATGTAAAAATAGATTTATATCAATCAGTTTAATTTAATTTATGTCTAAAAAATTAATGCCATGTATTATTTCTATAAATGTTTAATTTGTTTTAATTGCCTTGTTCTGTGTTGCTGCTGGCTCTTCTTTCTCTTTTCAGGTAACGTTTATCTGGGGAGAGTCATACGCAAGAAAAACCCTAATGGAATGCATTTAACTTTTAATCGCTGTAGCTGTGAACCATATTGGACGAACAGTTTTTAATATGTAAATAATCCACGGGTCCAGCAATGTGGTTTTTACTGCGAGCACTAAGCTTTTCCACTTAACGCAAGCGGATTCTTTTTCCGCACTGATGACACCAAAAATCAGTCAGCTGGACCTCCTGTTTTAACCTGTTTTTATTATGACAAAGGGAGAAGATGACCCGCCCTCTCTTCTCGCGACAGTGATTTTATATGTGTGCTTTAAATTGACTTTGTGATATACAATGACTTTTTATTTTGTGTTTTTACCAATTTTAAGGTGACTTGATTTACACAGACGTTTTTATTTTATGTTTCTACCAATTCTCAACCCATTAAGTGTAAATAATTTAATCAAATCAACCTGTCCATAATATCATATTTCATGTATTGGACATTAAATCTTTAATAATCAACAACAACAATTTCATTTTTTATCATTGCTTGATAATGCCTAGAGAAGCCTAGTCGAAACGTCGCTGTAAGCAGTAATTGTATTCCATAGAATTGTGACCAGTATACTCCAGTTCAATTACTAAACTCCATTGAAACAATTTTAAAAAATCTATTGTTGACGGTTCTGAACAGCAGTAATAATTAGCTTTTTGGTTATTACAGCAGCTTTAGAAATTGCGTTCATTTTATTTTTTAAATTGCGTTATCATTAACTGTACCGTTTGGAGTGGCATCTTTTGGTTTAGTACAAATAATATCTCTGAAACACTTGCGTTAGGCAGGAAAGAACATTACACTAGCAGTAGTTTCATTTTACTTTTACAAGTTTCTGAAAACAATTATTGGGTTGCCTAACGTGCGTGTTTCTAAATTCAATTTTTTGATCCAGCTTTCTCTTATGTTACGTAAAAAAGTAGTCTTGATTATCCTGACCGGTCTGTAGACTGGTTAAGCGAGACTAATTTCAAAACAGGGGCACGTAAACTATTTTTTACCCACAAGTGCCCGGATGTTATGGCCGACACTCGTAACCATCTTTCAGTGTATTATTTATGGACGGTTAAATGGTCATAGCTTATTAAGTACAACATGACCGTTTATTTAGTGACTATAAATGTGCGAAAATGATTTAAGGCTTGGCGTATTTTTAAATATTGTGGTGTAATTGTCGAGATATTTGAAGATATTTATTTATGGTAGGTCACCCTACTTTTTGCATACTGCATTGCACACGGTATTTTCAGTATTTGCACGTCAAATCAAACTAAGGATAGTTATTTTTCACTTCAGAGCATTTTGGCGCGGTAATATGAAGACAGTGGCGAACCGTTTTCTCACTCAAGAATCGTAGTTCTTCGACTGTACTTACGTTTCTAACCAATGGTGATAATATTATTTCAAATAAAAAATATCCGATCAGATATGCTGGTATATTTTACATGCCGTATAAAGCCACAGTAAACGTAAATTCAACTGTCAAAATATTTTAATTCTCTTCGAAAAGAACTGTCAGCCATTTTGACTATTTCCATTTATTTTTTTATGAGACAAAAGGAAACATCAAATAATCACAGTTTGAGTTAATCATTAGGAGTTAATAATGACTTGAGGTAGACTTTTCATATATCGTTGGCAGTATACGTAATCATTAATCCGACACAATTGATAAGTATTAGTCGATGGCATGATCCGGATTATCAGCGAGTTGATTAATTTATAGTATACCGCCACCCGATTGACACTCATTGCAAATAAAAGATTCATCTAGGATATATACGATTATAATTTTCAGATTTTTTTCCACTGTTATCGCCCAAATCAAATTTTAATCGTCACTTTAAAGGACAGTATTGGTGTCAGTCATTATCACATATGTGATAGAACTGGTTAAACACGTTCCAAATATACTTTTAACACAGAGATCATTGCTACCATAGATGCGTAATGAAGCGTTCAAAGAACGGAAGTGACGAAAGCAAAAGGAAACACGAGTTATCCTCCTATATAAATGACTGAAGTGACGAGTGACAACAGTTGTTATATGAGACTGTGGGTGGATATCTGATAATTCTTGGCGCATGAGGCACGGAACTGTGGGTATTCTACTAGAAATGTGTTAATCAAATGTCTGGCTTATGACCCCTGACGCATCCCCACTACAACTGGTCAGATCTTCATGTATTAGAGGTCATCGAAAGTATAAAAAACGAAACGAAATATATATCACCCCTGTAAACGGGTCGTGAGTCGCTTTTAATAAATTATATATTCTTTGTAGATTAACGCCCCTTTTGGAGACTTCTTTATTTGATACATTTTTACAGAATTTAGACAATTTATACTATTTATGATACGTAAATCCCAATATACATACACCACTGTATTAGTAAGTGCAGGTGATCCGCACTACACGCAATACAAACCCGATAAGACAAACCGACGGACAAGACAAACTACACATTGCAAGAGAATAAAAAATTCAAATCAAATGAATGGATTCGGGGGCCAGTAGTAAGCGTCCACTGTGCTGTACAGTTCCGTCAAAAGGAAAAAAAATATGCAAAAGAAAGACAATGGGATAGTCAGCCAGTTGACGTCATGAGTGAGAACGCCAACAAAGGGCGATAATCTGGATAGAATTTTGGATAACGATAAAAATTAAAAAAGTGTAGTGAAATGAAATAGGGTTTAACGTCCTACTGTTCTGTTCCTGACCGGGATAATGAAGACGAGCATACGCCATACAGTGTGAGGTGAATTTTGCCCGGACAGCGGCACTAAGGCCCACTCTTATATCGAATTCCAACTGCCAAGGAATCTTTCACGTTCACGCAAATGTTTACACGAGACCTCGGGTTTTGGACCCATCCAAACGACTATACGTTGTCCCTTGCCAGGCCGCCCTCTGTTCTGTACCACTGACAAGGAAGGGGGAATCACGCCGGAAAATCTGGATGAACTTTCTCGGTCCAATGCAGGGATCGAACACCCAACCTCCAGGTTAGCGAGCCAACGTCTTACCAGCCTAGCCACCGTGAGCTAAGCACAAGCAAGAGAACATTCTGCAGTATGGTGGGTTAAAATTTTACTCTAATAGTAATTGCAGGAGAACCGCACTACACAAAACCGATAAACTAAACCTGTGTACAAGACAAAACTGTACATGAATGAAAGAAATAAACAGCACATATCAAATTAAGTGAACGGATTCGGTAGCCAATCATAAGCGCCCACCTTCGTTCTCTAACCAAATTCGTTAGAACTGAACATCGGTGTGTATATAATCAAACGCACACAGTTTGATTTTCTTAAAATGTAGTTTCCTTATACATGTGTACACCATTAATGAAAAAAATCGAAATGTGTTGTTTTACCCGAATATGTTCTCTGAATCCGTGATAGGTCCACCATAGAGAAAGAATGATAAACATTGATCCTGCTTGAAGATGAGCCCAAAAAGCCCCCATGGTGAAAAACTTGAGATGCGTTACTGACGACGTACAAAGAGGAGCTGATATCTAAATTGATGAAGCAATGCCTAAATCAGAATTTGTAGTGTCTCCTATATATTCGTCACGCGTCTTTGCTTTTATATATGAGTAATAAATGAGCACAGTCGTTTAGCTGTGTATATCAAACAGCTGTGACCGGGGAAAATGAATAGAATTTATCAAATGTAATTGAAATGGACATCAATGTTAAACGATCTACCTGAATGGCTTACATACGTTCTGCCCTACAGCCGCCTATAACGTGGAAAATTTCATTCAAAAATAACAAAAATTTTCCGTGTTTACGTAAAATTACCATAGACAGTACGTATCCATTAACTGTTGTTCAGACAAAATTTCCCCTACAGTATAGTGTATGGTGCATTTCCATCTTCATTAGCTCGTTGGTACAGAAAAGTAGGACGTTTGATCCCATTTCATTTCATGTAAGCGAGATTATCAAATTAATGAAATGAAATAAAATGAAATGGGGCTTAATGCCATTATCAAATACAAGGACAAATAACTCGTCTGAAACCGATTCTCCATCAGTAGATATGGATTAAGACTTATTATTAGAAATGAAACGAAATTGGGTTTAACGTCCCTCTGTTCTGGCTGGACCAATGAAGATGGGCATATGCCATACAGTGTGCTACGAGGGAAAATTTTAACGGGCAGCGACGCTACGACCTACACTTTTACCGAATTCCAACTGCCATGGCACCTTTTACGTGAACGCCAATGTGTACACGGGGCCTCTATCGGCGTTTCCACTAGGCTGATTTATAGTCTTTATCCAAGCAATAATAAAGGTTAGTGTATCCGGTGAGGATGACGCTGGCTCGCTCAGCAGGATTGCTCGGGTTCGCTCCCGCCGTTGGCGAATTACCAAAGGCGATTGAAACGAGTTATGTATAGAAAAAAAATCGCCGTTTTGAGCTCACTCGACTCTTAATTCTGTACATGTATGCACCTATATGAACAGAAATGTTGTCTCAGATCTTCTGATTTTATCAAATTCGCATGAAATCCCACAGACCTCATGCCAAACGTGACTGTATGTCCACATCGGCCCCCTCTGCTGAAATTCCTGGACACGCCCCTGGGCTCGAACATTTTCCCAGATTTTCGTGGGATTGAACGCTTTGTGCCACAGATGGGGCAACATGTAATCGATAACTTTGAGAGAACCCTCGACGAAACGTCGCTTTAATTAAGATAGTAGAATTTTGTTCCATATTACATTTTTGTGTTTAATTACGGATGTGAATTGCCAAATGCTGCTCAAAGAAAATGTGACAACCTTTGCTCAAAAGCAAGTATGATGTTCGCCATACACAAACTCGAAATCATGAATATTCACCAAAACCTGGCAGAGGATGTATTTTCAAACCCTTTTCTTCGAAATGCCCCTTGAACCTTACTTCGTGGGTAGCCTAGACATTGTCCTGCTCCATACTGTCGATATCATTGGTTGGAAGTGCTTCAGTTTCTGTCCACCGGTCGTAATACAAACACATGTGGTTTGGCAATTAAATCACACATATTGTTAATGTCCTCGGTGCCCATAATCAGAATATATTATATAGGATAGAGTAACATATGGCACCATATGAGGAATATTTCTTTAATTGTAAAGAGATCATGGGTCAATAATACATTTCATTCAAGTTTCATACTATAACAGCATGGACAGAATCATATATACATGATATAACACTTAGTATTATACAGTCAATTTCAAAACTGGAATATTTGGTTTTCTCCGGAAAGCAGTTTTGTAGCTTTTGAAGGCTAAGAAAGTATATTTCGATTCGCTATTTGTTTCATAATGGCAATACTTGTTGAATTCAATAATCCGATTAACGTCTCTGTGCTGGGGTTTTCATAGAAATAAATAGGTATTAATTAGTGCCGTAAATCGAGGGCACGTTCTAAGAAGAAATGATACCCGGATTCAATGTTGGGTACAGTACACAATGGACATAATCTCTAAAGTCTTGTTAATGAAAATTTTCGACCATTTTCTATGATAAAGTTATGTTAGAGCTTTGCTCATTAGTGAATTATATAATAGTCATCAAACATTATTTGAGTGACTGCTAATCCTTTGAAAACTGCACTAATGTGAAAGCTGAACCTCTACAAGAATATCAGTCTAACATTATTCAGTTAGGTTCAGTATTTACTAAGATATGATGAAATAAAAACTAAGCAAAATTCGACATCCTTTGCAGAGTGTAAGGTCAAAACGAACGCAAATAAAATTTGATCAAAATTATTAATGGGAGCATGAAATTAACCATTGATATTAATGGTAGCACTGCAACCTATTTAGTGTTCTGTAACATAAAATAAAGTATGGCGATGGCCTAGCTATCCGGTAAATCTGTATATGGCGACCTTAAAATTATCTCTTAATTAATTTGTAATTTGTGTTTTTGTATGATTAATCTTTGAGATAATCAGATTATTATTTTTCATTTGATTGGTCCTTAAAATGGTCTTCCGTGTGTTAGGCATTGTGACGATGTGTGTGAGCTCTTTATTATTGAAAATTGATGTTCATAATTATTAATACTTTATTAAAGGTACATTATAGAAGATTGACAACAATCACCTGCCCTAGCATAAGGAAGGAATCTGCGACCTTGGTGGTAACTTAATTGGCCTTAAAGCTGAACTGCGGTTACAAAAATACCGAAATAATTAAATAAAAAAAAGTTAACGCCCCCAAGCCACCATACTTGTTTCCAATTTGTGAAATAAATATGGCGGACATGGAGGCTTGTGACCTGGAAAGGTTAGCCGATCTCACTTCCAGTTTGTTTCTTGTCAGCCAGCTGTACACATCTGGTGTTATTATTTACACACGCTTCAACAGTATACCAAATTATTGAAGATTGCAAAATGTCTGATCAGGTAAGCCTGTAAATAATTATATGTACTGCGTCTACTACAATATAGCCTAAGCTTTACTCTAAAACAAAAGATGCAAAAAGATGGCTTACCCCAACAATGAAATTTTCAACCAAAACAAATCACCTACACAAACGATCAAGGGACATAACTACATTTTTTGGGGTGGCTCTCATATAGGAGGCAGACCACCATTAATTTCCCCATTGACTTCAATGTTAATTCTGGCCTCTTTGCCCACCTCCAACTTTTCCCCGAATTTCCGTTGGGCTGAATGCTTTTCACTACAGACAGAGGAACAAATGGTCATGTCTTTGCACTAAAATTTGTATGAGGGTGACCACCAAAATTTTGAGATACACAAACTTGAAGAAGCATACTAAAAACATGTAACTAGTTGCCGTACATATCGCCGTAGCTAACCCTCTTATCCTTCCGCCTCAAAATCATGAATATTTACCAAAACCTGGCAGAAAATGTTAATTCAAACCCTCTTCGTCCATTCTAGACCAAAAAATCAACACAAATGGGCATGCAAAAGGGGAGAAAAGAGAGAGAGAGAGAATTGCTATAAATAGACGAACTACAATTCGTGATGATGAAATTTAATGGTGGTCTGCCTCCATAACGTCCCTTGATCGTTTTCGTATACAACATCGAACATGGCGACATGTGAAAATCTGATCTAAACTATCTGTTAATTGCATAGTATTAGTTATAATTACACTGGACATTATGCTGCGATAACTTTTTTGGTGTTCTACATATGTGTAAGATATTCACAAGAAGACGTGACAATAATAATATGAAGAAGACAATAGTTTGTGTAGGGGATTTGTTTTGGTCCATGTCCGCCATATATATTTCACAAATTGGAAACAAGTATGGCGGCTTGGGGGCGTTAACTTTTTTTATTTAATTATTTCGGTATTTTTGTAACCGGAGTTCTGCTTTAACAAACAGATCTAGCCAATCTCGATTTACTATATATAAGGGACATAACTCTAGATGATAAACTAAAAATAGATTAGATTCAGACTACTAATTGTTTTGTCTTAGAGATACTACAGGCATTTTTTATTTTTTTTAAAAAAAACGCCTGTTTCCTGGGGACATTCCGGGCCCCATCCACCATTTACAACTACAACAACATGAACGGCATTTAAGAATAATAGAATTGTTTCACCGAGCTCCGAAACGCCATTATTTCAGAAGGTGAATCGGGGAAACATCGATTAAAAAGCAATTTGGGTGTGGGGAGGTAACATAATGATCACTGAACCCCCAAGATCAGTGCAGTATCAGGGCTGGCAAGAGCACCTGCATCAAGCATTTTGTTTTGATGAGATGACCCCCTTACTCTTTCTTTGACTGGGATAATGTACATACCAATGTATTGCAGTAATGTGTAAAATTCTACGATAATTAATCTGTTTTAAACATCAAAATATTTCCGAGACGAATCGTTTGAAGACAGGGCGTAACACATTATCTGCTCGGAAACAGATCAAAGCCTATTGGACAAATAACTTTCTATTCGCAGGCATCATTATTATCACCAGCTTTTTGTGTGATATAACTTTTTTGATAGGCATATATTATTTCTATTTAACAACATAATGCAACATTTTCTATACCATTTATTATAAAAAAAAATAATTAAATGAGATGCGAGTTTAACGTCTAAGCTAAAAAAGACGGAATAATATCTTGATACGTATTTAATCTGTGCCCTCATAATCCTCACACAGCAGGGATAAATTGATGTTCTCATCATATACAGCTTTCTTCCCTCGCGTTATGTCTTTGTATTGAATTTTATCACCATCTGCTGTCAGCACAAACTCTAATCCATGCGACCGCCTGTATACAAACGCTAGGAAGAGATAAAACGTTAACAGTATAACGATATTCATGGCTATGTGAGCACCATAAGCTGCCATGGCAAAATGAACATTCCGCATATCCCTTTGATTCCATTGTGGAGCAGGTTCAGTTCCTGAAATGAAAAAGGGGCATACTGAAGATTTTTTTTCGTACGTCACCGATTTTGTAAACATAATTAAATAGATACATAAATAAAAGTATCAGTTTAGACCAGTAATGTTTTATTATGCGATCGGGGTTAGATATCTAAATGAAAACTTAAGAATTTAAGTTTTTAAATGCCTATAGGAACCAAATGCATCTGTTATGATTGATATTACCTGGAAACCGACCATCATGTATGAAGAGCATGAACGACATTTGAATAAACCAGGAACCCACTGTCATCCCTCCTAATATACGTACAAAAACCGTTGTAAATCCCTTTCTATAAACCATTTCAAACAACAGGGCAACACCAGTAGGCACCAACGATATGATTTGTAGCTGATGGCATATTCGCTCTAAAGGCATTTTGTTCTCTGCGTGAAGTTCATGAAGATAAAACCCCACAGCAAACCAAAGGAAGGAAATGGCTAATAATAAGTAGTTGAGATTCTTGGGTACCGGAAATCGCATCCACGATATCAACTCCACAAATCCCTGTATAACAAACAATCCATACAGACTGCAATGTGCCATATTGATGGTTTTCCGAAAATCTCCATTCTCATCCTTAAATCCGAATCCTGCAGCGAAAAATTCGCTTAGAAATCCTGAAAATAGTTAGCATATATGATGCATTACCCCCCAAAAAACCAAGGTGGAGTATAATTTAACCAACAATAGGCCAGAATAAAAATGTGAAGAAATTTAGATCGTACACAATCTAAACATATGCCAAAACCCAGAACTGACCACAACGGTTATCTTGAGTTCTAACCATTTCCAGTTTACATTAGCGTTTGTCTGCTCGAATAACTGTTTCCGATATGTTTGATTTGTATCCGCTAACATTAATTGTGTATCATCCACTTTTATTTTCTTAACAATCTAGTATCAATAGTTATAGGTCCATACTTATTTTAATAATAATAATAAAAAATCATCGGCCTAATTAACATGTAAGAATCCGATGTGTTCCTTTCCTTTCACCAATAGCCAAACACGTGGGCATATATACATCAGAATTGTACCTACGGTTTTACTGAAACGAAATGTATTTTATATTCTGGAATATAATTTGAAATGCGTTGACAAAATATTACATGTATATGACTTTGAGTAGAATCCCTACCACCCATACACATTAGGATTATATCCATAAATAGATGTGCAGCAGGTCTGAATTCATGATTAACTTATTATAATATACCTATTACGGGCAGTAAAATACGGGCACAAATTTCAACTGGGGGTAGTCGTCTATTCTTCACACAACATTTGGATGACCCGAAGTAGGTTTGCGGAATAAATTCCTTTCCTTGACTCACACACTAGAACAAAGAAACGAGTAAATCAAGTGATAAAAGAGAGATAAATACAAACAAATGTACATATAACAAATAATGATAAAATACCAAGGTATGGTATTTTGGTTCGATCAAAAGCCAAGGTGGTGCAACACTTCATTAAGACATTTTTGGTGAGGCTAGGGCCTGGCCCATTGTGTATTCCGTTTGCGAGTGTTGTGTTGACTAATTGTCCATTCCCTTGTTATATACCAATTCGTGGAGTGGCCTAATATTATTTAAAAATTGAAATTTGTATATTACCCGAATATGCTGTCTAAATGCGTGATATGTCCACCATAAGGACATCTTGATAAACACTGTTCCTATGAAGATATGACCCCAAAAACATCCCATTATCAAAGATGACCTGATCTTCAGCTGACACTAAAAATGAATCAAACAAGAATTAAGTCACAATTTGAAGATTAATCTATTAAATTTACCTTTGACACGCGACGTTTATTTCATAAATGAACTGAAATGTTATTAAAGATACATTGTGGGAGATTAGATAAAGAGCTGGTAGTTCTCACCATAATAGTTCAAAATAGATAATGTAATGGCGATTCGCTGAAAATTTAGTCCAATTGATCCACTCTGAACCGAGAATTTATCGATTGATACATAAACATAGTCTCGATTATCCATTTCATGATTTAATTATGAATGCAAGTTGAGCGGCAAATCGGATCCTAATCAAGTAAAATATCACAGGCTAGCGATTATGGTCTGGATAAGTTAATTATTTTTAATGTCTAATTAATAATTTAGATAACATTTCAGGCCTAAAGAAAGACCTGCAATAGGCAGATTTAGCTCTTGTGTAATGTATGTTTAACTGTGCACATTAACACGCTGTGACTGTGGCAAGCTGAATATCGTTCAAATGTAATTGAATAGTCAATGCTTTTAAACATGTGCCTAAATCTGCCTAAGAGCATAACGTGTCCGCCTTTCGTAATCGCAAGTAAATAAGGGGCTATCCACAAAAAGCGTTGACATACGCCCGCTTAGCAGCTAGTACGTCTCAAATTAAAATATAGCCATACACAGAAGATTATCCATAAGCAAAACTTGGGTGTTGACAAAATTTGACCAAGATGCCTTCATGAAATCTGATCTCTACCGCGTTCACAAGCTTTTCCGGACACAGAAAATCCTAGAATGTTGAAAATCAACAGGCTTCATCATCTACAATCCCATAGTTCCACTTCAATTTTGAAATTCAATAGGGTTCAGCCCCTAACAGTCCTAATGCTTAATGCGTTCACAGGGATTTTTGAAAAGGGGGAGGTGGATATGTGTGTGTTGTGGAAAGCTGGATATCATTAGGGTTCGTTATCTCATGAAAACCGTGCTTCACATCAAACTAGATCGAGTTCACAAGGGGGGTGGGGGACTCTGAATATCGATACTGTTCACACCAAATTTGAAAAGACCGCTGCTAAAAATTGTAGTCGCTATTAAGAACCCAATGCTTGGCCTCACAATTTAAAATATATCAACGACCGTGTGTCTATCGCGTTTACAGTGTTTTCAGCAAGGGGTACTTCAGTAGGTTGGGGGTTTTTTTTGTTACATTTACTAGGTTTTCGGAAAATAGGGAATAACTTCAGATCGGAATGACGCGAAACGCTGAATATCGATAGAGGGCGTACTATTACGACCCCAATACATACAACAAATTTAAATTGATTGATGATGAGTTAGTTGTATTTTACGTCCGCTTCCACCGAGGTGATATCGCAGACAAGCACAACAACAAATTTAAAAAAACAAAATCCCTTAAAACCGTACCGAGTTCACAAGCCAATTGCTGACGAACCTACGGGGGGCGGCATAATATTTCCACTCTAAAATCTGGGCGTTTAAAAATAAAATGGCAAATTTAGTGATATGGTAGTGAAGTTAAAGCTTATACGTGTATCGACCAAACAAATGTTCCGGACAATAAAATATTGCTAAAATTTATTCACTATGTGCAAATATAGTGCGTTTCAAACAATCAACTACAGTTGCAGTGCACCAACTAAATGTGCGTTGATGTTCGAACAAAAAAAGAATTTTAAAATTTCACCTTTAGATTTAGCTTGTATCATTAGCAGTTTTATTTGAATTTTCCGGATTGTGTTGTGTAATGAATATATTATTCGACATTACAGACATGCATATATACCAACATACCTGAATTTGGCTTATCCGACTACTGAAATGCTGTTACTCGTAACTACTGGTTGTGAATCAGGATAAAACCCTGACCGATGAATTCATGTGATGAAATTATGGTTCATTTCAAGTTTATAGTTAATTGTTTTCTGATTTTGGAGATTGACATTGAATTAATGCGAAAGTAGTTGGCGGTCTTTAGCAATTTACAAAACATGGTTATCTCCCCGTCAACGTTAAATGAAAATATCACTCGGAAACATGATAGTGGCATATTCGTGGGTCGGTGAGAGCTCTGTGAAAAAAAATAACTGACTTAACCAATCAAAATATGTGCCATAGTACTTTCTTGTAATACATAAGAAAAGGAAAAAAAAGGCTGACTTTGAGTTTTAAAAATCTATAAAAATATTAAAATGGTGTATCAACTTAATTATTCAAGCGCAAACAAATTAATGCTTGTATATATCTTAATCTACTGTCAGGTTCAAGAGGTGTGCCCTAATTCTAAATATCCGCTAAAATTCCAAACTTCCCCAACAAAAGTAAGTGCAGGGAGGACAAAATACTCTTTACATTATAATTAATGCTAAAGATCAGTGCCCCAATCAATTCCTCTCATCAGTGACTATAATAATATCCTGCATGTCCCGACTAGCCTCTGACGTGAAATCCATCAAATTATGTCTAGTATTTAATAAGACACTAGTTGCGTTATTGTAAATCATTCGTGGATGATATCTATCTCAAACATTTAAAATTGTTATTTTGATTCTTTATTCATTTTGCCGAGTGTATCGAGCGAACCATTGACTTCGTTGATCGATTTCATAGATCTGTAGTAGATCATGAAATTTGTTTTTACCCTATGCTATGTCCATGGCTCTTTTTAATATATTTTAACCAACAATACACTGCGCAACCAACAGTCCGTAAGTCGATAATACACTGCTCCCCATTAAAATGGATCGCGTTAATGTACTGGCGACGGGTGTACGGTTCGAACTATTTTTAGGCGACGGTGCAGGGATGGCCATAATTCAGCTCTGAACGCAAGTCTCGTTTCACTCACCCTGTACCTTCATGAACAAGCCTTTTGTCTCTTTGTTGAAACTTTTTCACCCCTCAGTAAATTTTACTGGGCATCCTTTTACTGCTAAACGGTCGTGTGTCAGTCCCTGTGAACGCCTGTACAATGTAGAGGAACATTTTAGTGAGAAAGTAAGACCTTACTTATCTCGCTGTTAAAAATACTTCCTTCTCCTGTTAATTTTTTTGTTTGGCAGCCGAAATTATTATCTAAATATAGTACACCGCACAAATTTAAGAACGTTGGCGATACGGAGACGAAACGAAATTTAGGTAAACAAGGGAAAAAATTGGAATCTTTAAAAAAAAATTGAATCATCGGGCATTTATTGCTTTGCCTACCCCAGGTAGATTCCAAGATTCCAATTGTTTTCCACCGATTACCTAAATTTCGTTTTAAGGATGTACAATTCAGCCTTAACTGAAAATACAATTTTAATGCTGTGATTAATTAAGCCTGATCAATTATTTTATACACAACCTTGTTAATATACTTTACAATAGATATAATATCATTATAAAACTTTGACTGCACACTTTCGATATCACGTTACCTCAAAAACCTAAATTTGGGAGCCATACAGGAGTATGTCGCTTTTATAATAAGTCACAAATGTTGAAGCAGATATTTAAACATAAATTATTAAAAAGCTAAATCTGCCTATTGCAGGTTCTTTCTTTGGGCCTAAAATGTTATCTAAATTATTAATTAGACATTAATTAACTTATCCAGGCCATAATAAACTCTCGATGTCATCGCTAGTCTGTGACATTTACTGTATTAGAATCCGATCTGCTGCTCAACTCTCATTCATGATTAAATCAAGAAATGGATCATCGAGACTATGTATTTTATCGTAACGACTTTAGTAATGATGATCGAGGCTAGGCCCAAAATTCAATCGCTAAATTCTCGGTTCAGAGTGGATCAATTTGACTGAAATTTTCAGCAATTTCCCTTTACATTATCTAGTGTTTAACTATTATTGTGAGAACTACCAGCTCGTTATCTAATCACCCATAATGTGTCTTTAATGAGTGTAGGGAAGTTACATTTTCTCGAAATGACATATCCTAGTCCAGCTTTTATTTTTTACTGTGACCAGGCTATTTTTTTTTAATATTTAGAAAATGCCACGTATAAAGTATCAGGTATGTGTCATGAGCTAGAACTATATTGATCGAGGGTGACTGGTGGAAACCGGAACATTCTATTCGGGTATCCAATACCGATATACTAAATCTTAGCACTAGACTACTAAAATCATGACATGTTATTTACAAATTTAAAAACCATAAATCATACATGCTGTCAAGTCCATGGAAATTAAAATAATGGTCTGTCTAACTTGAATGAATGTCCTTAGCAATACAGATAACAGAGATGAAATTTTATTTCACCAAAATAAAAGTGTTAAGTAGTTGTCGTGTTCATTAAAAATAGACATCAGTCGTTGTGTCAATTTCACAGAGTTACCTGTACATACATCAGATCAAAGTGGAGATAATCCATTCACAGTACATCTTTATTTTTGGAACAACATATTGTCGATATGGCATGTTTGGTAATTACGAGTTTACATCTAGAAAAAGTGTCCTATTGTGATACTCGAGATTGCATGAAGCGAAAATCACCAGTAACGTGACACAGGGCGTTCGAATTGTTTTTATACGCCCACATTTTCATGTGGACGTATATTGTCGTCGCCACTGTCCGCCCAGAATTTGTTTGTGGACAGTCTACAGGTCGCAATTTTAATCCAATTTTGACGAAACTTGAAATATAGGGTTATCTCCCAAAGATCTCTTTTCATCTCGATATTGGCATGTATCGTACCGCCACTTCATGTATTATGACCCGTGATTGTACAAAAAATCGCCTTTTTGCTTGTGGCCGCTCTATATGTAACAAGTTTTATCCGATTTTGATGAAACTTTACATGTATATTTATAACCCAAACATCTAGGTTCCTGTCGATATTCGCGCTTATCGGAACGTAACTTCTGGATTATAGCGTATTTACCGTGTGGACCATCTAGAAGTCACAGTTTTTATCCGATACTAGCAGGATACCCGGCTTTGCTCGGGAGTCATAACTCCGAAACCGGAAGTGGTAGACTAACGCCAC